CATTTTTGCTCGAGTTATCGCGCTAACGGACACATATATATATAAATATATATATATATAAATATATAGTACCTGGGGACCGAGCTTTGCTCGGGGAAAATTATTAGTTTACTCTGAAAAGTATTGCAGATTCATTAATTTACTCTCAATCTCCACACTGCTCACCTTCACTACTTACTTCACCACTCCCTACGTCGTGGACCTGTTTGCCCTCCTTCCCTATACCATTTTACAATTGCAGATACATAAATGCCACAGACAGTTCCCACACTCTGCACTGCTAGCAGTGCTAGCTTTACTACTTACTTCACCATTTCCTACGTCATGGACCTATTTTCCTCCCTTCTCGTAGCATTTTAGGATTGTAGATACCTTAATGTAATTCCCAAAAACAGTTCCCAGACTCCAGACTGCTCACCTTTACTACTTCCTTCACCACTTCCTACGTCGCGGACCTGTTTCTCTCCCTTCCAACGGCATTTTAGGATTGCAGATATCCTAATCTAATTGTCATTAACAGTTCCATCACTCCGGGCTGCTTGCCTTTACTACTTTCTTCACCTCTTCCTAAGTCGCAGACCTGTTTCCCTCCATTCCCATAGCATTTTAGGATTGTAGATACCTTAATCTAATCGTCATAAACATTTCCCGTCACGTCATAAACTCCGGACGTCTCACCTTTACTACTTCCTTCACCACTTCCTATGTCGCAGACCTCTTTCTATCCCTTCCCATAGGATTTTAGGATTGTAGATTCCTTAATATGATCGTCATAAACAGTTTTCACACTCCAGACTGCTCGCCTTTACTACTTCCTTCACCACTTCCTATGTCGCAGACCTCTTTCCCTCCCTTCCCATAGCATTTTAGGATTGTAGATAACTTGATCTAATCGTCATAAACAGTTTTCACACTCCAGACCGCTCGCCTTTACTACTTCCTTCACCTCTTCCTAAGTCGCAGACCTGTTTCCCTCCATTCCCATAGCATTTTAGGATTGTAGATACCTTAATCTAATCGTCATAAACATTTCCCGTCACGTCATAAACTCCGGACGTCTCACCTTTACTACTTCCTTCACCACTTCCTATGTCGCGGACCTCTTTCCACCCCTTCCCACAGGATTATAGGATTGCAGATTCCTTAATATGATCGTCATAAACAGTTTTCACACTCCAGACTGCTCGCCTTTACTACTTCCTTCACCACTTCCTACGTCGCGGACTTGATTCCTTCCTCCCTTCCCATAGCATTTTAGGATTGTCGATAACTTGATCTAATCGTTATTAACAGTTCCTACACTCCGGACTGCTCACCTTTACTACTTCCTTCACCACTCCCTACGTCGCAGGCCTGTTTTCCTCCATTCCCATAGCATTTTAGGATTGTAGATACCTTAATCTAATCGTCATAAACATTTCCCACACTTCGGACTTCTCACCTTTACTACTTCCTTGACCACTTCCTATGTCGCAGACCTCTTTCCCGCCCTTCCCATAGCATTTTAGGATTGTAGATAACTTGATCTAATCGTCATAAACAGTTTTCACACTCCAGACTGCTCGCCTTTACTACTTCCTTCACCACTTCCTACGTCGCGGACCTCTTTCCATCCCTTCCCATAGGATTTTAGGATTGCAGATTCCTTAATCTAATCGTCATAAACAGTTTCCACACTCCAGACTGCTCGCCTTTACTACTTCCTTCACCACTTCCTACGTCACGGACCTGATTCCTTCCTCCCTTCCCATAAAATTTTAGGATTGTAGATAACTTGATCTAATTGTTATTAACAGTTCCTACACTCCGGACTGCTCACCTTTACTACTTCCTTCACCACTTCCTATGTCGCGGACCTCTTTCCACCCCTTCCCACAGGATTATAGGATTGCAGATTCCTTAATATGATCGTCATAAACAGTTTTCACACTCCAGACTGCTCGCCTTTGCTACTTCCTACGTCGCGGACCTGTTTCCTTCCCTTCCCATAGCATTTAAGGATTGCAGATACCGTAATCTAATCGTCATAAACAGATCCCACACTCCACACTGCTACTCTTGACTATAGAATCGAGTAATCTTCAGTATAATCTTTGCTCAATAGTAACAACTGATGTTTTTCCTTTTGTACTGTATTTTGATTTGCTAGTATACTGTGGGTAGATAGCTTACAAGTCTTTTGTTTACATTTTCCTTGTTATTTAATTCAGCCAACATGGTTACCTAGCAACCCATAAGACTAATGTTAAAAAAATGTGATTTTCAGTTTCATTTTTCTACGTAAATAGATTTTTGTTGGCAGTTCTAATTGCAGTAAACTCGTTTTTAGGCCAATAATAAACTATATACAACATTTGAAGAAAATCGTCGGAGCAGTTTTCGAGATCTTGGTGCAAGCATACATACATACATACATACAAGCAAACTTTGCTCGTATTAGAGTAGGCTATAGGATATATATATATATATATGAATTTGAACGGATGGTGTTTTTGGCCTCTAGGGACCCCAAAACGAAAAAAAAAAAATCGGTCCCGGGTCCAGGTCTTACCATGAGTACTACGGTAATAGCTTATTCCCTATATGGGAAATTCGCTAAAAGTGAGTTGATTTGGATTTTTAACAGTTTCCCAGCCAAGAACTCATCAGGAATAGACAACATTTCAAATAAAATAATCAAATTCTGTCAAAATGAACTTCTAGAACCCCTTTTACACATCATAAACGCCTCAATTGAGCAATCCACTGTCCCAGAACTAATGAAGATATCCATAGTGTATCCTAAATTCAAAAAAGGAGAAACACAGCTCATAGAAAACTACAGACCAATATCGCTACTACCAACCTTCTCAAAATATCTGGAAAAAACAATAAATATGCAACTGATACATTTTCTCGAAAACACAAAATTAATATCTCCAAACCAACACGGATTCAGACAGGGAAAGTCGATAAATACAGCCCTAGCCCAACTATGCGAAACAATTACTAACTTATGGGAAGACAAGAAGCAAGCCACAGCAACTTTCCTGGACCTACAAAAGGCTTTTGATAGCCTAGATCGGAAGCTTCTCATCACAAAACTAGAAGACATGAACATCACTGGAAATGCCATAAAATGGATACAAAACTACCGTGATAACAGAAGCCAAACCGTTGAAATAGAACACTACAAAAATAACTACCAAATTAAAACTAGATCCGAACTACAAAAGACCATATACGGCGTGCCACAAGGCTCCATACTCGGGCCTCTACTTTTTCTTGCTTATATAAACAGTTTTCCAGACAACTTACCCCCAGATTATACATGCATAATGTTCGCTGATGACACCACAATCATAACTCCGACAACTAAATCAGAAGAAACGCCCCAAAAAATTGAAGAAACCCTAAAACTATCAACAGAAATCTGTGACAACTTGAACCTAACTATAAATAAGAAGAAAACTATACACATAAAATTCACAACTACAAACAGACAGCAAGAAGAAGAAAACCTCACGCAGCAAAACATAACCGACAATGCAAAATTCCTAGGAATTACAATTGATAAGAACCTAAACTGGCACAAGCATATAGACAACTTGCATAAAAAACTGTCATCAGCCCTTTTTGCACTGAGAAGAATACGTAAAATTACAAACAAATCAATAACAATAACAGCATATCACGCACTTTTTGCAGCTCACATAAATTTTGGAATAATAGCCTGGGGATCCACAGATCAGACATCATTAAAGAAACTTGTAATACTGCAACAAAAGGCTTTGGGAATTATAGAAGAAGCACACTACCAAGACCACTTTTTCCCAAAAAACCAAATCCTCACCATCACCTCCACCTATATCCTTGAAGCAATAAAGTTTATAAAAAACAAACCAAACACTCTTAGACACGAATGCCACAAATATAATCTGAGAAACAAAACAAACCTAAACCTAGAACAACATAGGCTCCAAAAAACTAGCTCAACCCCACATTTCATGGGAACTAGGCTTTTTAATCTTCTGCCAAAAAATCTAAAATCAATAACTGACACTAAAAGTTTTATTAAATCACTAAAAAAATATCTTCAAAACAAACCATATTTCAACCTAAATGAATTCTATAATGACCATAACTTCCTAAATAGGCCCTAAAAAAAATGCTCACAGCAGGCCTACAGCATGAAGAAAGAAAATTCTGAAGATTCCCCGATCTTGATGACCGTGGAGAAGATGAAGTGAACTATGAACTATAACTATGAACTATAACTATGAACTATGAACTAGGCCTAACTTATATTTTATTGAAAATAGGGCTAGGCTAACATGTTTATGGCAGTTTTGTGACGTGTAAGCTACATGGTGCAACTGACTTGCAACTGAAATTTTCGTTCACTTTAATATTAGGTACAGTGGAATCTTATCTTTAAGAAATTGTACCTCAAACGTTTTGAAGCATAGGCCTAGAATTTTACCTAGGCTAAGCCTTGCAAAATGTGATTTTTTATAACTTAGTCACGCTGCCAGTTGGAGGGTTAAAAATCGTAATAGTCTCTAAGTTAATCTAGAAATTTTCCGTTTCATCAAAATATAACTACAACAATAACTCAACAAGGGGCCTAACATAAATGGAAAATGTTCAGGGAGGAGCCTAGCCTAGCCCTAGGTTGAAGGTTCCAACCTGGGCCTAGGCTGGTGCTTCAACGCCTTCACAGTGTCTGACTTTAAATTTAATGTTACATTTAACACTGCCAAATTAAATTCCCGAACTAGCCTAATAGTGCCAAATGGTGAATCATAAAAACATCTAGGCCAATGTTTATCCAATGGGAATCACTTGGGACATAACCTCAACCTTTGGTAAAAACGATACCTACTAGTTATAAGATTAAAAAAATACAGGTTATGAGGAATATTGAAAAGATTTAATATCTTAAAGTTGAACGAACTGTTTTAAACTAAATAATATAAGATACAAGACAAAAACAGATGGAAATGGATAGAAATACTTACCATTTTGCTGCGTTTTTGTCACCTTCTTCAAACCGGAAAGATGAAGACCATTTAGAAATTAGATTGAGATTGAGAGAAGATTGAAGATTGAGCGACGACGGACTGGACTGGACTGTAGTAGACAAACTAAATCTAAGAGCCATAGATCACAAGAACTAATGGTTTACCTTCAACCATACTATAAGAAAGCATATGACATTTTTGAGTTCCAGCTTGGTTAAAACAAACAACTGAACTAGGTGAAATTAGGATTCATAATGGAAAAATAAACAAACTTACTTGTTATGTATTGCTTAGTGTTTACTGTGAAAATTAAAAGGAATATATGTATACACCATTGATGCGGTACTGGCATGACCACCTTTAACTGGCCACGTTGCAAGTAGTGTATAGTCATAGATAAAACATACTCCCTTAGTAGATTTCTCATCCTTATGGAACAGCTGAAGACAATTTTATTGTTAGTTCATGTACGGTTTATGTAGAGGTCATGTTTTGTTTACAATTTGTTTGCCGTTAGCACAATTTTTATTTCAGCTGCAGTTATTTTAATAACAATAAAATGAGAGCATTCTATTGGCTGAGGGAACACCATTAGCGCAATGAAACAATACGAAGCAATCGGCCTTGGTGGTCCAGTGGTTAGCGTGCTGGGCTATGAATCTTATGGTACCAGGTTCGAAACTCATCGGGGGCACAAACTTTTTGTCTAAGATTTTTGCATTATCAGCAAGTTTGGTTAGTTTTGTTAGGTTATAACAGTTAAATTTTATAATTAAAACATTATAAAATTGAATTTGAGCTATTTATAGTTTTATTTTATGAACAGAACTATTTTTTCGATTAGTAAACCTTCATTAAATTTTTTCATTATCAGCAAGTTTGGTTAGTTTGGTTAGGTTATGACAGTTTAATTTTATAATTAAAAAATATAAAATTTAATTTGAGGCATTTATAGTTTTATCTTATAAACAGAACTATTTTTTCTATTAGTAAACCTTCATTCAATTTTGTCATTATCAGCAAGTTTGGTTGGTTAAGTTAGGTTATGACAGTTTAATTAAAAAAATAATTATATATTTTTTTTAGTTTTAGGCCTATAATAATTTTTTTTAAATTTCTAATTTTTAAACTCTCATTTTGTCCGTATTAAAAAACTGCAGCTGAAATAAAAATCGTGCTTCCCGCAATTACATCCATTTAAAACCTCGTTTAAACAAATAATACGATCTAATCATAAACAATAACTTGTCCCCTAGTTATATAACCAAACAGTAAAGCACAAATCAAGAAATTAACCCTAAAATAATGGAAACAAAGTTTCATCGACACTAGTGCCTTTGTGTCACGTACATGAACTAGACACGAAAAACGTGCTTCCAAATTTACAATGGGATGAGAAGTCTACTTGTGTTGGTTAGTCTGTGGTATAGTGTTGTTTAGCACCAGACGTCCGATTACAAAACATGGCATGCAGGTGACACCAGCTCATCAATTATTGTATTATTCATTTAAATTCCAATTTATGATCTTAAAATTATTAATAGATCGACATAGATAAACCATAGTATCAATAGGTCAATCAGCTGATCATATTATGGTGTGCGCCAAAGCGGTGCGAGACAAAGTAAGTAAATGCAGCAATTACAGCTTTCTGTACTATAATCAGTGCAAGGAAGCCAACATTTTGTCGGGTGACCGTAGGAAAAAATATTTGCAATTAAACTCAATTCATTTCGAAATGATGGTCTAAAAACGAGCCAGTTTTAAGACCCCAACCCTACAATATATTCAGTAGGGTGAGTGCACCCATGTTTCCTCTGGAATCTAACATGAAAAAACCATTGAAAAGATGCTATTACGCTACAGTGTACAATAATGTGGTAGGGTAGAGACTAGGTAAAAGTGCTGTACGTACAGTATTCTTATATGTAATTCATGACTACGCCTACACTGTATGCACTATGTTTACAGGGTTTAAATCAGGCTTCAAAGTTACTTTAAAGAAGGTTTGTAATAGATTAGGCAAAACGGAAAACATATGATGTTTTTCATGAACGACCATTCACTATGGCTCTCATCCTATATTGATTTTTAGAAGCTCCATATAAGTAACATGCAGTAACGAGATAACGTCTGCAATATGACGAGATAACTGTTATATACATATGTTATATACATTACTGTACTGTCTAACAGAATGGATACCTAACAAAATTGGTTAGTTAAATTCAGAATCGATCTTATAATTTTGTACGCATACATTAACAGTTAAAATTTTAAGTTTGAGGAATAGCATTTTCTACTTTTTGAAACGGTTGACATACTCAAACAACGGCTAAAAAATATAATAACATTTTTGCCTTAACATAGGCTTAACCTGTAATAATCTATTATTAAAGTGATACAATAAAATTTTATGTAAACGGTTAAGGTCATTTACCAAATAAAAATATGGGCATATGGCACATCAAAATTGAAGCTTAGAGTGTGTAGATTTGCCGAAAAGTATTGATATGGACGAATTTCCTAAGGGCTCTGCCCCACAGGGCTACGCCTGGCATGCTTCCAAAGTTTAAATGATTTTATTTAATTCAGTTAATGATACAGCTGGTCAGTACAATGAACTGGTGTTTGTTTATTTAAAAAAATATATGTTTGTGAAGCTTTATGTAGATTGAGGAGGGTTATGTTTGGTTTTAAAGAAAGGTTGTATACGTTTTGTAAAGTATTGCCCAAGGTTTCATTTTGTAATTTATATAGTAAGCTACATGTAAAGAGGCTTAACTAAAATTGAAGAATTATGATAAAACATATCATTCATGAAGCATCAATATGAAGCAATTGATGTTATTGCTACACTAAGGTCTGTTGTCATATTCTTATGTATCAATTAACATCAAAAGTAGGGGTTTGAAAGTAATTAGGTCTACACTTTTAAAACAGTTTATATTTTCACACTAAGTCATAGAGTTGGTGTATTTTAAAATACGGATCGGCACCACTTTAATAGCTCTCAAGGTCACGTTTTCTTCCCGTTGCAAAGCACGGTGTTTAATGTGCCCGTAACGTACTCCCGAACGTGAGTTTAGTCGCTCGTTAATTATAGTTATTGAGTAAATTCTCGGACAACTAGAAATGAAATGTTAACTGCAACGAAATACTCGGTTACAGCAATGCGCCGGTTTTTCTCAGAATTTACAAATGTCAATGAGTTCGTAAAGAAACAACACCGTGAAAGTTCTACAATAACTTTTGCTTAATAAATGAAATAGTGCAAGTAATATTCTGATTGGAGCACAGTACCTGATAATACTACTGCACTTTTGGTCCTTGGGAGGTTGTGGCTGCTGGTACAGGGCCTCTCAGCAACGTGGTCCAGGGATCAGCGAGGGGAGTCGACTCAGCAGGGGGGAGAAGGCGCCTTCTTTGGGAACTGAAGTGACGTTCTAGAAGGGGGGGGGCGATGACGATGGTACAGTCAAAAAATGGCATAAGATGACACAAACACACTCTTCTCCAAAATATCAAAATAAACTTGCACTTCAAAAACCAGATTGTACGTAAAAACTAAAAGAAACCACGCTTTTTCGACAAGTCTGTGCACGATCTCGAGCACGTGTTCGAGTGAAAGGTAAAATAAAATAAAATCACTGTCCAAAAGTTTATAAAAGAACTAAAAAACAACTTTTACGAAGTATTACTGTATTTGAACGGTAAAATTATATATTTTTGCGGTTTGATAGTTTGTGACCGTGAAGCACGGGAGTTGCCGGTACGACGATACATGCGGAACTGACCAAGTGGCGTCTTTCCCTCTCCACTAACATTAAAATTGACCAATGAGAGGACAGGGATAAGAATAAGTCAGGAAAAAGTTTGCACTGTGTTCAGGTTCGTTTAAAACTTGTTGAATTATGTTTTTGTGATATTGTCCATACCGCCGCCCGTGAATCACCCAGGGATTTGCAATGTAAAACAAAACTAAAAGTTCTCTTGAAAGAAAGTTCCATTTGAAAATAAAAAAGTATGTTTGTAGAAATAGGTATCATATGAAATAAACCTATTTATTTTTTTGTGTTTTTTTTGTTTTTATTTTTTTTTTTTTTTTTTTTTTTTTAGATTACTTAGGAAGGGGTGAGATCTTGACGACAGGTCTCGTGAGCGTTCCACTGGCTGTCTTCAGGGTGACGACTCTAGTGACGCCATCACGTCCAGGGTGTGTTTTGATGACTCTTCCTTTTATCCAAGTTTGAGGTGGGACTGATTGGTCATGAATTAAGACTAAATCATTTTCTTCTACATTAGGGTGTGATTTGGTCCACTTCGCTCTCTGCTGTAGTGTGTGTAGGTATTCAACTTGCCATCTCTTCCAGAAATGTTGAACCATCGATTGTACAGCTTGCCAGCGTTTCAGGTGATTCATAGGTGACTCTCCGTGGTTTGATTCAGGCAGGGAAATCATGGGTCTTCCAATGATAAAATGTCCTGGAGTTAGAATGTCGAGTTCCGATGGATCAGATGACATGGGACATAGTGGACGAGAGTTTAAAATGGCTTCGACACGCAAAGATAAAGTTTGAATTTCTTCTAAAGTGAGAATTCTTTCACCAATAACTCTTTTCAATAGGGTTTTGGCACTTTTGATGCCACTCTCCCATATACCACCCTGGTGAGGGGCTGAAGGTGGTATAAAATGAAATTGAATTGCGTACTGCACGGCAAATTCATTCAATTTATCTTTTGTATCTTGACTTCTCATAAGATCTCTTATAACTCTGTTTATCTGACGTGAAGCTCCCACAAAGTTAGTGGCATTATCCATATACAAATGAGATGGGGCTCCTCTTCGTGCAACGAATCTACTCAAAGCGGCGATAAATGTTTCTGTAGTTAAATCGGATGCAATCTCAATATGAACTGCCTTTGTGGCGAAGCATACGAATAAACACAAGTAAGCTTTAACAATTTGAGCTCTTCTCAAAGTGTGCACTTTAATATCAAAAGGGCCTCCGTAGTCAAGACCAGTGGCGTTGAAGCAAGGAGAAGGATTAACACGAGGTTCTGGTAGATCGCCCATTTTAGGATACACAGTGCGAGGTT